TCCTGTGAGAATTTGTATGTTAAGGAATTGCCTAATGTCCCCTCAGGTCTTTTGCCACCTCTCTTATAGCAGATAGCCCCTAGATAGCCTCTGTAACTGTTAGTGGTACCCGCTTTCTCGTTGCTTGCAAACTGCAGAATGTAAAGCATAGGTGTGTTCTGGAAAGAGAGGAGAAAAAACAGTGTCTTCATCCTTGGCAAATGTTCTCACTGGTTATATTCACTTAGCATACAAATAAATAAAAAAGTAATATTTTACTAGGAATCCAGTGGATAGAATAATGGCCTCTAGCTCAGCAGAGCTCAGTTCACAGCTCTGCCTTTGGCTTATTGGGCAAAATCATTTGTATCATCACCATACAGCCTGGGATAAAGACAATTCTTTGTAATGCAGTGTGAGATCTGTAAAGGAAAAATGTTACGCAGGAGGAAAAATAATAAAATCTTCTAATGATAACAAAATTTTATGTTTTATATGTATGTTTATGTTGTGCACAGTGGAAAGAATCAGATTCTGTTCTGCCTCATGCTTCATCAGTGGTGCTTTTAACTGGTTTCCATTTCAAGGGCTAAATGTATTAGTGTATTGTTTTTAGATGTACCTTCAGATACAGGTGTGGTTTTTCATTGAAAGTGATAGCATTTCATTGTAGCAATCCTGGGCAGCATTTCCTGCATCTTCATTACGGTTGATAAGCCATAAAAGTCTTTATGGCAAAGTTTAAATACCTAACATTTATGGTGATGATAGGGAGGGGTCTTTTTTATTTGTGAACTTAGTAAAAATATTGCACAGATCTATGGGCTTTGAGGGTTGTGATTCCCTGAAAATAATTTGCATAAAGTCATTCACATCTGCATTTGCTCTTTAAATCTTCTCTGGCTGTATGAGTAGCATAAAACATTTATTTTGCCTTATTTTATGCAATGTAACTAATAGATACATTCAGGACTAGATGCTGAATACTTCAGCTGGTATACACCAGTGTAGCTCTGGAGCAAGCAGGGTTGCATCAGTTGAGAATAAACCTCCCCCACCAGTTTTAACTGCCAGTCTTGCAGTGCATTACACGAATGTTCGCTGTAGTTTGTCAGCAGCAAAACTGTCACCCAACAACACGCACTGCCTTCTATCAGCCATTACTTTTCTGTCATCATCATCAAGTGTAGCTTAAGAGAAGCTGTGCATCGTTTCTTTCCTTCTGAACAATTTCCATTGAAATAATTGACCTGCTTTTATGGTAATTCAGTCTCTGCTATTTGTTACTGCAGCATTTTGTAAAGAAAAATGCAAAACTAATGCCCTAGAACAGAAACATTCAGCCAAATTACTTACCAGTAATCCAAGGAATCATGGATAAATCCATTGCTCAAGTGGCTTCTCATTTGGAGCTTTATACAGTTTTCACCCAAGGGCTGAGATTTGGGTTTTTTGTGGGTGGAGGGGTTGTTTTGTTTTCAAAAGGTAATACTTATGCTGTCTCCCTTCGAGCAACTTTATATAAATCTCTTCTGAAAAGTGTATCTGCCAGCACTGTCACTCCACCCACGAGCTTTCCCTAGAAGCACTAGCTAAAAATATTTAAAGGGGCTGTTTCCACTTGTTTGGTGTGTTTCTTTTGGTGCTTCTGCCTCTTCTTTTCTTCAGTCTTCAAAAAAGTCAATAAGAGATATCATTTAAGCCCAGTGTTTTGAAGTGACAACTAATAAACAGCCGTATAGCATGATTAACAGGTAGTCAGAAATAGTTTGCTGTAACTTACAAGTAAGTTGGGGCCCATTGGATTTGTTTTAAAGTAAATGAAGCGATTCCAGTTATGGGTTGGGACGTTCACTGAGTCATTGGATGTGCTATACTTTCTACCAGTTTCTACCACTGGCTGATGGTGTTCGTGTCAAGGTATTGCACAATCACATGGAAGTACAAGCTAGCTCAGAAGTAACACTCAGAATCTGGAGTTCTGACAAGTTAAAAAATAAGGAGGACTTGAATTTCCATTTAAAAGCTGGAAATGATGGTCAAGGTGTGTGATGAAAATCATGAAGTCTTAAAAAAAAATAATTGCTGTTCCAAAAGTAAAAGCTGATGTTTTTTGATTCTACTTAATGGATGTATTTTTCTTTACTTCTTTGACTTCCATCAAGTGTGGCTTTCTGTGGACTTTCTGGGCTGCTATTGCTTTTTTCAGATGAAAGATGCACCAAAGTAAAGACATCATAGACGGTGCCCTGCTGGTTTAAGCAGGGTCACTGCCAGTGGTAGGCTTCTAGGATTTGATGACAGTGAACATGCTCTGAATTTCTCTGCTTGCCTTTGGGATTTTGCTGAGTAGGTGGATTTCCATGGCTGAGAGTGCCAGCTTCTCAGGAGGGATGTCTCACAGGAGGAGACATTAGCTCACTTTTGACATCTTGAAAGTGGAACTAGGCTGGGGAGCATTGGAGTGATGAAGGCATAGATTGAATATTTTTATTGCTCCGTAAGTCTTCAGGAAGTTTGACAGCCACATTCTGTATGGTGCGCTCATCGTGCTTACACAAGAAGCTTCCACGCAATGAGTTATAGAGCTGGAGTGTGTTCATGAAACTCCTGTGAAAGTACTGATTGCATTACCAGATTCCACCTCTGTGAGGAAGAAGTTCCCTCACCTTCCCAACCCAGCACTTTGGTCACTAAAGTTTCTCAGTGTTTCTGGTGCTCCAGGACTGCTGTGGATGAAAGAGGACTAGGTATTTTCAGCACTCTAAGGTACCTGCCCTCCTTCTCAATCTGTGTGTTGGGTTGGATGAAGGATTTATGTCTGGAAACATTTTACAGGTGGTATATTGAACATTTCACTATGGTGTTGCTTGTTCGGAGGTAGCTTCATTCAGTAAATTGAACCTGTCACCTAGTAGCAAATGACTCTTACATGAAATGAGGTTGGTGATCTAAATCCAGACTTCTGTGGAAAATACATGGTTACTCATGTTGTCAGCACAGAGATGAAGTTCGGAAATTATCCCTGAAGGATATGGATTCCTGACGTGGGTGAGGCTGGGTGGGACATCTATATAATTCTGCTGGTTTGATGAAGGATGAGAAGAATATTATGAGCTAAGATAGTATTCCTTTTTATTTTCTTTTTTTTATTTTTATTTTTTCTCCACAAACAGCAAACTATTTGGTCTAATTAAAAGAACTGTGTGGCTAATCCTGTCCTGTTAGCTCTTCTCAAGGAGTGAATATCTTAAGAGCAGATTTTGATGGAAGGTATTAAAGATGACAAAAATATCTTTATATAAAGAGAACTGTAGTGTAATCTAGCTTCAGAGTTCAGAACATCCAGAATGCCATGGTTATTGTAGTATAATACCACAGTGAATTATATTTCTTATTTTACATTTTTGACTTTCTCGCACAAGCCTAGACTATGGTTTCATGATGTTAATGATCTGTGTTGTGAAGTTCCTGTAGGCTGCTGTGGGTAAATAAATACAATATGAGGAAGGTGATTCATGATGTGGCCCTAAGTCTGTAAAGTAGGACTTTGTGAATGATTAGGATATAAGCAAAGTGGACTGCAGTGTTTCAAAAAAGCCCTTCAAAACCCCTGACTGATGAACCCATAGTCACTGCAAGGATCACCTGCCTCAGCCCAGTATGTGCTTTGCTGAGAAGTTTTGGTGATTTGTACTTGAGGCCTTCTTAGTGACCCAAACCCTATTTTTTGTGGTGTGTCCCTAACAATTTCTCCTTGTGTTCTTCAACCAACCAGGTAACTAATGCTTGAGTCTTCTCATGAGATAAGGGGCTGGTTGACAGCATGCATTCTACACACGCATCCTGCTCAACACTGAGGGTCAGGAGCAATATGATGCCAAGGCTGGTCCCAAAATCCAGACCTATGCTGGCAAACTTGAAGTTTTTGTTTCTCCTGCTCATTCAAACCTAGACCAAATGCAGAATCATTTTAAGTTTCTCCATTGCTATTCACAGTTCTCTTTGTGACTGCTGGAGAAAGAAGTGTACACAGCTATTTAAGATATTTATCAGTGTAGGCAAGAAAATGCCTTACTGGAGTATAAAATACACTGCAAGTATTGCTCTCTTCTTCACCAGTCATGTGCTACACTTTAAATAAAATATGTTTTCTTCCACAAAAAGATTTTTATATTTCTGAACTTTTAGAAGCCTTAATCAATATAAATAACAATTTGAGCATGGTGACACCATATTTAGTCTTACAGTTGTGCATCTCAGCTGCTTAGTCATTTAAGTCAGTGGAAATAAGCATAGCAGTTAGAAGTTTCAAAAGGTCAGAGAAGCTACTGTCTTTTCAGCTTTGAATCAGCTGAGAGACTCCAGTTTCTTGGAAACGTAATGCCAAGGCTCCATCTCTGCACCTAATTTCCATCCCCCCACCCTGCCTTTGAAGCAGTATGGTAATTTGCTTAATGGGTAAATCACACTACATTCAGTAGCAGAACACTGTACAGTGCAAGTTCCTTCCTATTTTCTCTTTCACTTCAAACTAGTTTAAAGAGTGTTAGCCCACTTTGTGTACTGAAATATTTGACTGAAGTTCTCTTACTCAAATGCCAAAAAGCTGTTCACGTTTTTCAATACAATGGTTACTTTTTCAGTACAAATATGACAAGTTCTTTTACCACTTTCTCAGAAGCAAAATAAGTGATAAAGTGTTCCTCAGAGAGCAATTTGTTAGAAAATTAAAATAAAAATGAAAGCAAAAGACTTTTAAAAACTTAGTTTTAAATGCGATTTGTTTTTTTCCTTATGAAAGTAGCAGCATGATTTCTGGGAGGAAGCCACCAATCGCCTAGACTGCAATGGAAGAAATGCTCTATTTTTTACTGTTCGATGTGTCTGACTTTAACAACCGAAAGTTATGATCGGAACCTGTCCCACGTTTATCTGTAGGACTCTACAGTGTTTTAGTAACTGCTATTTCTTATATGTTTTTCCGAATGACTCTTAGTTTTATTTCCATGTATTTCCAGCTGCCGTTCTGCCTCTGAAGTGAAACTGTCCAGGGGGGTTGTCGAGCGTTTCCATTTTGTGGTATACGCAGCCTTCTTAGAGCTGGGAGCTGCGCACTGGCGCTCCGGGGACTTCTGGCTCCTTGCGCTGTTGGTAGTGTTGCTTTGGTTTGTGAGACTTTACCTGCATTATATGAGCCAATGGCTCTTCCTTCAGACCATCTCAGTTCCTGTGACAAAGTAAGTTCTGCTGCTTTCTATATCTGTCAGAATATTTCTACAAATAGCTTGATTCAAAGCAGTTCCTCTGCACTGCAAAGAGAATTAATGATTAAGGCTCCTGCTAAGGGCTCTGCATGCAAGCCCTGATAGGAACCTCTGCAGAGACTCAGAGAACAAGGACTGCATCCAGACTCTGGATGATCTGGTATGTAAATATGACCCTAAAAGAAAGGTGAAGGTGTTAATAATGTAAGTTATCAACCCAGAACAGGATGTGTCCACCTGTGTGTCTTGTGTCATGCCTACCTCCCTCCCGTTTGACACACCCAGCAGGTTATATATCTTCCACAAGAATAATTTATCATTTTGATTCAAGTATTTCAAAACATCTAAGAACTTCACAAAACTGAAGAAGCATTTAAATCATACTTGATGTTACCAAAGTGATATAGGAGTAAAATACTTTGAAGAATTTAACTTTGATACATAAGTTTTACTGTGAGGACTAGAATCAGTTGACATATTTTAACTATATGATACAGTGACTTCAGTTCAGAAATCAGAGCTCTCTAGAGAGTCCCAAGAAAATTATTACTTGTCATTACTTGACATCAAAAAAGAAAGATGGAGAAGTCCACAAGGTGATATATACCTGGTTCTCTGTATGTTGCTGTGGGGTGGAGAATGGGTTAACAGAGCAAAAAAGATCAGTCATCCTTACTAAAGGGAAGACTTCTCCAACAAGAACTATTTTTTGTTCTTTGCTTCGCTTTAAAGCATCATGCAAAATTGAATCCATTAGTAGGAACCAGTAACATGGAACTCTGTGAACTATGTCTGCTGTGATACTGGCATTATTGGCTTAAATTTGAAGAGAGTCTCAGTAGACTCTGGACTGTGCTGGGTATTGCTCTGGTGGTCTTCTAGATCGTAACATAGAGCCAGCCATCTCTTGCTTCTGGGCTTGCACAGCCCAGGAGGGCTCAGCCAGCTGTCATTAAAACTTCTGGGAGGCCAAGAATCAAGAGTCTGTAAAAGCAAAGGAAACAGAACAGAAGGAAGCAACATGTGTGAGAGAGGTGGTTCATGTTCGAAGCCACTAATCACAGTTGTCCCAGACAGTCAGCCCGATAAAGGACAATGTTCTCAAGCCAAGGTGCCCTGGATCAGCATCCCGATCTGTAGCTGTGGGCCCACAGAACAAGAGTTATGTGCTCTCTAGTGCTGCCAAATACAATGGTAACACCCATGAGTTAGAACCAAAGTGAAAATCAGACCACTTCACCTTTACTTAGGAGCAAAATTCGCTTGATTTTTTTGCCTTAAATTTCAGCGTCTGTATGTAGCTCACAATACAACACAGTTCCTGTCGCCTACAGTGCCAGAAAATCCGCTCATTGTGCAAGCTTTTATAATCCCACCACCCCATGGTGGCAAGCAGGACATTTTCAGTCACTTTCAGGATGCTAAAAAGTATGTCTTCTATGACACATTTTCCATTTTGTGCAGTGTCCGGAGGTGCTGCAGTATGCAGAGAGGTGAGCTTCCAGGGCCTGTGCTCACACTGGTGTTACTGGGAGCTAATGCCTTCCTATAGCCCTGCCTGCATGGTTCCAATGGCTCGGATGTGCATTCACTGCACTGAGAGTCAGAGGGGATCAAAGGACATGCAGGAAGAAGGAGGAAAAAGATTTGGTTTTTTGGTAGTTTCATACAGCTTTTGGTGAGACGATTGTGACCAAGATAGGGATGCAACTTTATAATGCAAAGTGCTGTATGCATTGTTCTATGTTTTTCTTTAATAGTTTGCCCAGGAGCACAGACAAACTGTCTCCTTTTGCTTGTTTACAGATTCCAGCTTTTCCCTCACACTGTCGAACTGTGCTACCAGAACTCCTTGCTGCAGACCGGTGAAGAGTTGGTCATGGTTGTGGTGGGACCCCTAACCTTGAACGCATGGCTTCTTCTTATGGTCCTGATCAGATGGGGCTGTCAGCAGCTGTTTGACTCATTCCCTTCCTTCTTGTCGAAGTTTATCATAGCTCTGGGACTCTGGACAGTGCTAGACCCCTTGGCAGTGTTTGTAGTGGATTCAGTCCTGGGGGTAAGTCACTTAAAATAACTTGGACATGAGACCTTGACGCAGAAGTTTGTTTTATTCAGTGAATCACTGAAAGATATGAAATTCCACCCCTGGCAACAGAACATGAAAGTTAAAAGAAAAATTAAATAATAATTTTATACATTACCTTTTTATTAACAAAATTCCCATCTAATGAAGGCACTGTGTGTCTGCTTAAAATTAAGACCACTATACAAGCCATACATGGAGATAAGAAAGTAAATCCACTGTTGAAATTATTGTATCTGCTTTGAAAAGGAGTACTGCAGTTTTGATTGTGAATGGAGATGGGTTAATGAGCAGCTGTGATTATCAACACTACAGGTTTTTCTAAGCACTGAAACAGACAAACTGAAAAAAGAAAGGTTATTGTGTACTTCTCTGACATGCAAGGTAGTGAATATAATTCTCTGGCACACCCAACCAGACTTAGGAGATTGGAAGACAGACATCTCTTTTGGAAAAAGCTTCTTCACTCGTAAAATCATGTGAGTAAAGCTCACAACTCGGTGCCTATGTACACTGTGTGTGGCCCATCCGTACCTTGACGGTGGGCAGGACTTTTATCACATTCAAGGTAATGCCCCATCCCCCAGAACATGCGTTTCGGGTTCGGCTTTTAGTGTGTAGGCGACACAAGGTCCACTTGATGGACGCCAGGCACTGCGAGCTTTTCTGGGGGTATGGTATTGTTCTTCCTCTGCCCTTCACTGGCGTTCAAAAATGTCTTTGTTTCTGTTGCTCCCTCCAGATCGAGTAGTAATCCACAATTCTTGTGGTGTATCAGGTTTTCTCAGGTCTCTTGGTTCCTGATCCACTAACCTCTCCTTTGCTTTAAGAAGTCCTGTTAAAAATGTGATTTTTCACTGTTTACATGCAGTTTCCTGTTGCAATGGTTTTGAAAATTAAAATTCAGCTGTTCAAGAAACTTATTTGGATCTTGCTTGAGAAGTAATTGCAATATTTCAAGCATGTGGCAGTACACTGTAGTTTTCTCTTGGACAGCCTGTTGTTTTTGGTTTTGTGGGTTTTTTTGTTTTTTGTTTTTTTTTTTTTTAATTTCATGGTATAAATCATGCACAAAACTGAATTTTAATTGTAATTATTCTGATGAAGATTTTTTTTTTACTAGGAGAAAAGGGCTATTTCCCCAATATCTAGGTTAGAAATATTTAAATATTTACAAGGCCTTTCCCCCCACCCCCCTCATAAAGCCGGTGTAAAAACTAGAGTAGAGGCTGAGGTCTGCCTTGTCTTTCCCACATTTGCATTGCAAACAATCATTGCTATTGACTTCGGTGGAATTGTGTTCAGTTCTAGTCAGACTGGATTAATTATCAATTTCAAATAGGGCTTTTTTGCTTGGTTAGAGAGAAACCTGAGATACAAAAAATAACTAAGTTTTTCATTACAGCATTATAAAAGCACACCTCTCTCTGTACTTAACACTGAAAATTTGGTGATTTTACCCACTAAGTCTGTCTTTGGTAGACATTCAGTTGTTCAAATATTACACAATATACTGCAAGTATCCTTTCCGAAATGAAACTATATCTCTTACATGTGTTTTCATTGTTGCATTTGTAATTTTTTTTTCCCCTGGCATTCTTTCAGCAGTTATTTCAGATTTGCTTGCCAATTTATTTTAGATCAAGAATTTTTTAAGATGTGTTGTGGTAATATGAGTTATTTTAGTGCTAGAATGAATTTTAGTATCCTAAATGGCCTTAATACTTATGAAAGATGACAGATTGCCCTGGAGACAAAGGTTTCTCTGTTCACTAACTAAATTTTTTTATTATTAAGGGAAGACTACAGAGCCAGTTGTGTGTTTTGGAGGTTTCAACTCATAGTTCAAGATACTCTATCAAATGTGTGATTTCAAGCTTGATTTCCTGTTGTCTTGTAGGATGTTCCAGGGGTAGGAAACTTTATTTTGGAGAATGCAGTTCTAATTCCAGTTTTGCCACAGCTTTTCCGGCACCAGTGATGTTGTCTCAATGTAGCTTGTAAAATGCAGAGAGTAACAGCTCCTTAACCACATGGATATGTGTTGCCATAAAAACACTGGAGACTGTAAAGTGCTCACAGACCATCACTCTATGGTGTGATAAGTACCTAAGATGATAGATATTAACAAATGTTAAACAATTTAAAATTAAGATACCTTTCTTGGATCATGTCATTGAAGACCCCAAAAGGATTAACACAATCTCTTTCTAAGAAAAAGTTGAGAGAGAGATATACTTCCCCCATGCCATTTTTGCCTTGCCAGAAAAAAACTGCTCAGATAAGAGAGAAATTTGTTCTTATATGCCATTCAGAATTTTGTCTCTCTGGAGGGATGTCAGAACGTGACTGCTGTGCAGAGGATTTTCCTTGGTAGACAGTCTCTTTGATAAGAAAAGGATGGAGGCAGCCAGCTTCTTTTGCAAGAAGAGAGGATAGAACAGGGATATAGAATCATAGAATCAGAGAATGGTTTGGGTCGGAAGGGACCTTAAAGATCATCTTGTTCCAACCACCCTGCCATGATCAGGGACAGAGAACCAGAGTATTTTAATTTTTTGTAACTAATATGGACAGATATGAATTAGTAACTAGTCTTTATATGCCATTATCAGTCTCCTGGGATCTGTCATTTCCATTACAGAAACCTGGTAGTGTTGCAAAGAGTGGAGAGAGAACAGAAGTATATTCAAGACTCTCAGTCTTTGTGTAGCTCATCATTGGACTTGTAATTGCCTTTCGTTTGCTATGCATGTCACTGCAAAAGAAGCCAAAAATGGGGACGAAGTTTTGACTCTTCCTAAGCATTAATCCAAGTAAGTTGCTCAGGAAGGGGCAGGTTTCTTGAAGCCTAAAGTTCACAGACTCCCTCTCTGAGTGATAAACTGGATTATTTGATGGTGCAGTTTCACATCCTTGCAAAAGGTATCAATGTGATTGAATCTGGATGTGGTTGTCACTGCGTCACTTTAAACAGAAAAAATGTGAAGAGAGGAATTTATTTGAGCTCTGAGCAGTAGAAGACCCATGATATGTAGCTGAATTCTTCTAAATTGATTGATCCAGCAGAGGGCAATGATATGTCAATACAGTGGTTAGTTGTTAAGAACTAGATATGGGGAAAAAAAGGAAAAGAATAGATTTTTTGAAAAATCTTTTTCCGTATTTTACTGGAAGTGTAATGAAACGTAGAGTGCTACACAATCTTCAGGGTTCTTTGTGAATTTTTGCAAAAACACACAAACCACCTTATTTCCAATTAAAGTACTATTTTTACTCTATGAATATTAATTTCTTACCAATATTTAGTATGCTAAAGATATATTTCATTGTCAGTAGAATGAAAAGAGTTGTACTTTTTTTTTTTACAGAGAAGTTGAACATAATAGCATAAAGAAGTAGAGTGTATTACAGTCATGTACGTTTGGAGAAGCTATTAATGATACAACTTATGGCTGCTACTTTGTACAGCTAAGAGGTATCTTTAATTCCACCACAGAAGTGCGAGTACGATACAGTCAGGTCTCTTCAGAGCTGTTGCTGTCACTGTGTCTCTATTTATTCTCAAGAAAGAAAGAAATTAATTGAGGGTTGTATCATAAAATAATGCTGATGCTTGTTTGTTCTTCAGTGTTACAGGATGTTCTTTGTGGCTTCCGAAACTGGATTGACCAGACACTAGGAATGGGGAATGAGGGGAATATCTGATTTTGTGACTTAAAAGGTTTCAGACAGACTTAATAATGCATGTACATAAATTAAAATAATGCTTCATAAGGGAGAACTTGTCTCTTTTGCACTGAAAGAAGGTCAACCCCCTTGGGCAAAACTTAGCAAAACCCTGCTGGTGTCCCCTGTTGATCTACCTGTAGTTGTTTTCTCCATTTTTCTCACCTCATTGAGTCTCAGTGAAGCTTTGTGAATCCACTACCTTCTTTGACTGATGCTGCTGTTCGCAAGGCTAGTGGAAGAGCTATGCTAGGTGTCAGCTAACAACACACACAGATGGCCTGATACTTCCATTTGGCATTTCAGACAACAGGATGGTTCCATTTGTTTTCCAGGGGTAACAGCAAACACTGACTTGATCTGAAATTGGGAACTGGTGTGTATACACGCTCCAAAGTGCACATGTTCAAAATGATGTAACTTGCTGAGTCGGGTAGGAACCAGCATTTTTCTTGTCACAAGGGCCTTTGAGACTGGTCAGTTTAGAATTATGTGCAGGCACTAGTATTTTCTGCTCACTCAGCACTCCTAGAAACAGCAGTGTAAATCATTCAATATTGTGCATCTCTGGTCATTGAAATAAGGCAAATTTCAGCCTTCTTCCCCTTCCACTTTTCCTGAAATATGTTAATGAAGCTCACAATGAGTATTTTCATTGTGACCTGGGTTTTGTTCAATAAGCTGCCTCTATAGGGTTGATTTTAATTGTACTAATATGAGTCAGAAAATAGTTTATAACACATTTCATGGTTAATTTCAAATTCTGTGTAGTAGACCTTCAGGTTTTGAGCTGTGTGCCCCACAAATTACAGTTAAATCCTTCTTATAAAGAATTTCAGACTCTTTTGTGTCTCTAATCTAATCAGGTTTGGCATTTTCTTACGTTGATTTTTTCCCCCCATGACAGCGACTTGGGAACAGTGTAGAGAAACCCATTGCTGATGCTGCAAAGCTCTACTGGGTCTTTGTAAGAGCAGAGGAGTCAGGGATTCCTGGTGCCTTAATCACTGTGATGCTTTATGCAGTCCTGTTCATCATCTCGTCGACAGTGTTGTACCTGTACATTTTAAGGTATGTCACTTTATCTCATTATTCCCTTAGGAGCTTAGGCTCAAGCCCCTTCTCCTGTAAGGTAAAATAAGGTGACATCAGAAAAGACACATCAATGTCACATGTCCAGAGCCCAGAATTGCAGCCAATCAAGGAGGGGTTAGTTCCTGCTTGACACAGCAAGTCAGAGAGGGAGCCACTTATGTCCTCAACAGGAAAAACTGATGCAATGATTTTTCATAGAGTCTAGGAGCTTCTGTTCCTTTGGCTTCAGACAATGGTGTCTGTGTCAAAAGTTTAAGCTCTAAAGTGTGTGTACCTTTTATTTAGGTACTTTGAAAGACATTGTCTTCAGTCTTCTAAGCAGTTTTTTTGTGAGAAATAGGAAAAATTCAGAAAGATACATATGGTGTGAAGTGCAAAATCTCTCTCTGAGTCTGCAGTGGCCCCCAGAGTCTTACAACCTTTTGATCATACAGGATTTTTGACTTGATGTGACTGAGGCTTTAAACCACTGCATGACATGATTTAATCCAAATAATAATTCCATGACTTTAGCCCATTACCAGTTTTCAGTTCATCATGAAATTAGACCAAGTACTTTTCCTGTCACTTTTCTAGTAGGCATAATTGGTGGTATAGTCAATAGGGGCAGGTATGCGACCCTGAAAAAGAACAAGATAGGTTGTCTAATGAAAAAGTGTATTTTATTTTTTCTATGTGACTCGTATATAATGCAGTATGAATTCTATACCGGCCCTTGACTCACATAGTGATGAACATTGAGTGGTGCCAAGCACCAGTAAAAATCTGTATGCAAAGGCAAGATGCAGGCAGGTGTAAGGTAAGAACACAAACGCTCAGCACACGCCCTTCATCCGACAGGATCATCCCTCGGTCTCCTTTCCACAGAGTCTGCTGCAGCAGGCAGAAAAAGATAAATGGCAATCTAAATTTCTGCAAAGTATTTTGAAACTCCTGCATTCCTGGAAGCTGTACACAACTCCAATGTACTGGTAGTCTAGTTAATTAGTTTTTGAGATGTTAATGCCTTCTTAATCATTGACTTAATAGTTTTGAATAGCTTCATAAGTTTTAGCTGCTGTCGTTTATTACTCAGGCAAATTAATTTAAATTAAAACATTTGTAAGGCAGGTTTTTATGAGAATATTACCAACATCTTCATTGTCTAGGGAACAGGTGCAAGATCATCAAAGGTTCCTTTCCTTCTGGATCAATTTTCCCATAATGTTTTCCAATAAAGGGGTGGGGGGAGGATGTTACTAGGGGAAAAAAGTTATCTTAGTACAACACATTTTAAAAATGATTCATAGCAAAGTACAAAAACAAAAGGAAGATAACAAAATCTCTTACAGCGCATAAGGTCTTTGAAGTTCTTTGCTTGATAACAAAAAGAAGTATTTTGAATACCAGAGTCTGCACAGAGTGGTTATACAATGAGCTTCTGAAGTTGGATCAACTTTCTCTTCCTCGTATGTCCACCGCCCAACACAGTGGGAAACTTGGACCTGGACAGAACTCTTGAGAAGCACTCTGTCAGTCCACTAATGATAGCATTAAAGCCTTTTAAAAAGTTTTCAAGGAAAGCATCTCTGCAATTCATAACATTGTTTCCTGAGTATTGATATAACAGCATTTGTTTTCAAGGGAAAATAGTATTATAACCAAGGCAGTAGTATCCTTTTGTGAGAATATTTTTCAGGTGTTATATCTCAAAGAGATTCAAATGTAATGGTGCTCGACTCAGATAACACATTTTTTACACAGGCATCCACCACATCTTTCTCTCTTAAGGTAAACCAATATAGATATTGAGGGCTGTCTTCTTCATCGTAAGACACCAGTCCACAGGGAAGACTTTGGCTGCTGGATGATGGAGTTGTGCCTTTGGTTAGAATTACTCCACAATTTGCCGTTTAACAGAAGTGTTCAGCAGAGTATAAAAAAGGGCTAAGAACAGTGAACCCACCAGACCACCAGTGCAAGTAGGGGAAGTGTCTGTTCCTGCCATAGCTAGAAAGCTTCACGGCAGCACTCTTTAACAGCCAGGAAGCAAATGAAGTCACTGGCAGCGGATGAACAGGACTAGGTATCTATTTGTGTCTTTATAAACAAATATACTTCAATAAATCTGGCTCCCCTTGGGTGTCTTGGGACTCTGTAGTACATCTAGCATGGAGAGAAATTCTAATTACTTTTTGGAAAAAATGAAGCAGCACTGGTTGCAATTCCTTTATTTTAATTCCACTAGGCATTAGAAACAGTTAGGAATTTGTTGGTGAAATGTTTTCTGCACCGTGAGAAAATGTAGGCCCATCTCAACTAAAAGTATCTGCTGGAAAGAGTCTAAATTTCCTGGTATTGAAATAGCCTGGGGGGAAAAGCATCAAAAATGTACTTTTTTCAGTGTTAACAGCAAAATTATTTATATATTTTTACAGTTATTTTCCAATAAAGGATGAGAAATGCTCAAGTGAGGATATAAATTGTTTTAAACCACAGTACCATTCAGTGTTTGGTTTGTGTAAATTTTTGAGAAGTCAATTTTTTGATTTGACTCTGGATAGCAAATAATTGTAATTTTTTCTGTTATTTCTGATAAAAAAAAATAACTAGTATTATACTGGGTCTCAGATTTCTAGAAAAGAACATCTGAGTTTTATTTTGCTCTTTATTGCATTAGCAATAGAAATTATTACAGTCATATTTATAAGAAGCCATGTTAAGATAGAAGAAGAAGTTTTTTATTAGTTTTCATGCCAAAGAAAAAAATTAAACCAGGTAACAGGAGCAGACTGAGTACTTCTGGGCAAAAGGAACGAAGCTGGAAGACAGGCTTCATGATTCTTAATTAATTCAAAGTTAATTATATTGTTTATAACCATGTGCTTAAAATCTTCATATAGAAAATGTTTATGGCAGCAAATAGACAGTAATTTAACTGCATTAAATTTTACTTCATTTGAAATAAGAAAGTTACATTAAGTGAGCTTAAATAAATGGCAAGGTCTTTTTCTTGTTATGCAAGATAAGTGGCAAAAGATTTAAATTGTTGACCTGGAATTTCAAAGACAAACACCATAGAATATTTTTGTTTCAAGATGAGCGGAAGGCCAGAAAACCCAGAAGCTTGACTACTAGTTTTTCAACTAAGCAGAAGACAATTTTGAGTCAGTGTTTGCAAAAATGTATCCATTTTGTCAAAAAAAATCTAGTGTAGATCCAGGGATTAAGACACAAACTTTTCTTTGAAGACACCGTGGAATATGGAAAATAACTTCATGAAGGGTATTACTTATTTCTAAAAAAATTCTTCTGTAACTTGTTTTCAGATACTTTAGTATCCTACTCTGCCTTAGCACTAATTCGCATTTCTCACTTTAGAGCTTTTTCTATTATTTCTTTGTAGCCAGTTTGTTTATATTCTCAGGACTACCTCCATCTTGATTAGGTTATCTTCCAGCTGCTCTCCACTTTTGATAACAGAATCCCAAAATGACATCTTGGAAGCTACAGGAAATTTAGGGCTGCAGCTTCAAAAAGGCATATTTCAAAAAAGAAGGATGGAGGGAAAAAGTACAGAGGGCGCCTTTGCAGCAAAGCAGGAGATAGAAGTCCCTAATCTGATGCTGAGCCAGGCTGCCAGATTTCAGTATCAGAATAGCTACTCCATCACAGAAACTCTTGGATATAGAGCTTGACTCTGAGGTACATACTCCCTTTAGAAGACAGAGCTAAAGCTTCTCCAGAGATCAAGTTGAAAATCAAACTAACTGTTGGTGCGTCTCCTCATTTCTGTTCCACACTAAACCTCAGTTGTGGGCAAAACTGTATTAAGCAGCTTACTGAGTGTGCTTCTCTGCAATTACTGTGTGCACTGTAAGGTGAGGTGTAGAGCTAGTGTAAATGTGAACTTCATTCTGATTTACCTGCACAGTCCCCTGCCCTCCACCCACATGCATGTTGTCTAGTACATACATGCCAATACAAGACCCAAGAAGAAGGGTCACCCAGAAGAACTGCATCTAGTGCTGCTGTACATGAGAAGGATGAGAGTTCAGAAGGTGAAAGGAGTTATGCCCGTGCTCTCTCTCCCACCTGCCAAGAAATGAAGGACCTGTACAGCTGACAGAAATCTGAGCGTTTTGTTGGTTGCAGCATCACACAGCAATCTCTGCACTTCTCATGACTGCCCAGCCAATCTCTGGGACTGATGACTGAATTGTAATGAAGTATTTAGCTTGGAAGAGAAAAAGGGAAAATACTTAAGTTCAATATTTAAGACTGGGATTCTAAATACTCTGACATGTATATTCTAAACCCCTGGTTTTGGAACAAAAGTAGAATGAGAAAGAGATGAACTTGAAGAGGTTCCTTTTGAATTAAACAGCAGTGTTTTGAAGTTTTAAAGTTCATCCAAGGCTAAAAATGTGACACTAGGCTTTTCCAAAAGCCCCACAATATTTCTTGGTTTCACCTACATTAAGAAATACCACACAGCAAGCCTTTTTTGTGGTAGACAATTTTACTGTGTAGTGCTGATTCAGTTCCTTACCACAGCACAGAAATGTCATAGAAAAACAAAGCCAACAAATGAAATGAACTTGTCTAACATTAAGAGAAGTTTAAATTGTATAGACTGCAGGCTTGGGGTTGAAAAAAACGGTGAGTAGTTCCTTTCTAGATGATATGGTTTGCCTATTATTGAACCCTGGTGCAGCAGGACTTCCATTCGTGCCTAAGTGAGGTACTTCATGTAAGCACTGGAACTAGTTACACAGACCAATGATGAAGACAGACATTGAACATTTCTAAAGGAAAGGAAGATCAGGATCTTTTTGGGAAGTTAATATCTTGAGAGAAATAAAAGAAATTGTTGCTCAAGTTTATGTGACTTGGTTCAGGCATTGTAAAGACTCTAGAGGGTTGGGGAGGGTTGTTTGCTGGAGAACTTGTGGGAAAGAAGCTTCTTATTCATGGGTAGAGTACAATGTCATTAAGAGAATACCAAGATTTAGAAGTCTACAAAAGGGTAAGACATATTTTTCTTTTTTCTGTGGCGAGTCCTTTCAAAGACAAACCAAATGTGTCGTTTCTACCCACAGGCTACACAGTGAAGGTTGGCTGTTGGATGTATTTCGACGCATTCATGGTGAGGAAGGCACATTCTTTGTTCCACTGGACTTAGAGATTTCAAGTCAGGAGCTGAGTTACATCATGAAGAGGGCTGAGCAGTGGAGAGGAACCAATGGTGAAAGACGGATGGTGAGTGGCGAACAGAGTCTCCAAAAGGAGTCTCTGACACACTGGTCCAAACTAACGCTCAATGTTCCCGGATATTACCTGAAAGGACCTAGGTGTACAAGAAAATTATTCATGGGGTGTTTCTTTGAATGGAGAAGTTAAGAAGCATGTTCAGGAGAATTTTGTGGGATTGTATGTGCATTGCCTGAACATTCTGAGGGGTTACAATCTGCTTAGTATCTGAAGGCTTATCAGAATCACTGACGTAAAAAAATTATCTGTGCCATCTGGTGATTCTTGACTGTGTCGCAGACACTTAATACTTGTTTAAAGGTCAGTTTCTTCCCAGATAATTTCTAAGTCATCTTAGTAAACTGGGGAGCTGCATGGACAGGTAGAATTTTCTCTCTGCAAGGGCATGGATAGCATTGCCCTGAGGGGGGGATGTGAGTTTTGTGAGTCAGATGTGATAGCCATGATCTCCTTCCTGGCCCTTTCCTTCCAGGATAACCCGGAGGCATGGACTGAGTTAGAAATGTGCAGGGGTAGGTAGGAAAGGTCTGAAGTTGATTTGCTCTACTTTGGTTATCAAAATAATTCCTCTTTCTTTTCTGTTAAACCACTGGCCTCTAGTCCCATAAACAGACTTTAAGCTGTGATGTGCAGGAGATATATCTGTGTTTATAAAGTGTCCAGTGTTGGAGATGCCATCCACAAATGAGGCTTCTGGTCATAATGGCTTTCAGAGAATTGAAAAGAACAGAAATAACATGGTCAGTAGTCTGTGAGGGACCTTGTTTTCTTTCTGTGAGGGACCTTTTCTTCCATGCTGTCTAGCTTTGCATCAGCATTATTAATTCCCGTAGCATTACCTTATAAAACAGCTCTTGGATCATTGTTAGTGCTCATCAATTGGATTTAGACATCTATGAGTGCCTCTGTGTACAATGCTTTTTTCAGCAAGTTTCCTGCTTTGATATAAAAATGAATAGATTCCAGACAGGAAGGAAATTAGTCATCCTAAGTATGTATGAGTTTTATGGTTTGTTTTCTAACCCACTGAAACAAGTGATTTCAGATTAGGGTCTGCAGGTTGTTCAAGTCTCTATAGCCACCACTGAAAGATCAGCAGTTTCTATAAATATGTAGCCTCAGTTGTCACTGCTTTAAATGTCTGCCACAACTGTAATTATTTTCCACTTTTTCTTTGTGATGACAGTTTGGACCCCGGAAGGAAAAATAAAAAGGTGAGAGTGCAACTGAATGAAAAAGCAGATACTCAGGAGGCTTATTTTTTGTGGGAAAGTGCAGAGCACCGCATTGCATTTCAACAGAGGAAGGGAAAAGGTTTGAAGGACTGAATGCACTACCACAGCCACCTGTCTCAGACATTCCCACTTTTTATACAGATAGCACTTATCTGCTTTACCCCAGTAAGCAAAATAACCCTTTTTTTGAACTTAGAAACTTTCTACAGTAAGTCAAATCAGAGCCACAGATGATTGGTTTCTATTACCTTTGTGACAGGTTAAGCAAGTTCAAACAAAGAATATATATAGTGGACCTCATTTTACATTCCAGGACTACCAATGCCATATGGAAAAAGTGACAGATAAGGCAACTGCAAATAAATACTTTTCTGTTTCAAGTGCTGAATGCATTTCTAATTATAGTGGAGGAAAAGAAGGTTATCAGGAGTAGTCAGCATGGATTCACCAAGGGGAAATCATGCCTGACCAATCTGATAGCTTTCTGCGATGGCATGACTGGCTGGGTAGATGAGGGGAGAGCAGTGGATGTTGTCTACCTCTACTTCAGCAAGGCTTTTGACACTGTCTCCCGTAACATCCTCCTAGGGAAGCTGAGGAAGTGTGGGCTAGATGAGTGGTCAGTGAGGTGGATTGAGAACTGGCTGAATGGCAGAACTCGGAGGGTTGTCATCAGCGGCGCTGAATCTAGTTGGAGGCTGGTAACAAGTGGTGTCCCCCAGGGGTCAGTACTGGGCCCAGTCTTGTTTAACTTTTTCATCAACGACCTGGATGAAGAGTTAGAATGTACCCTCAGCAAGTTTGCTGATGACACCAAACTGGGAGAAGTGGTAGATACA